TACATCAAGCTGCGAGAAGTCTTGGAGGCTATCGGCTTCACTCCCTCAACAGCCGATCAATCCTTGTTCATGCTTGGCGAGGGGGAGCAAAGGAGCTTCATGGTGGTTTATGTGGATGACATCCTCATTTTCTCACCCTCCCCTGACCTTGTGAAAGAGGTGATGCTGATGCTTCAAGACAAGTTCAAGTGCAAGACCCTTGGTGACGTCAACTACTACCTTGGGCTTCATATTGAGCGAGATGTGGAGAAGCGGTGGATGCGAGTGCATCAAAAGAAGTACTTGGAGGCCTTGGCTGCAAACTTTGGGAAGAGTGAAGGTCATGTGGCTACTCCTCTTCCCTCAGGGCTCAAGTGTGTGAAAGGACCAGCGGAGGAAAGTGTTGGTGAAGAGGAGAGGCGCCGTTTTCATTCCTTGGTGGGCAGCCTCCGTTCACACAAGGCCGGATGCAGCCTTTGCTACCGGGCAGCTGGCTAGGGTTGTCCAATGCCCTAATGAAGAGCAGGTATCAGCTGGAGAGAGGGTGGCCAAGTACCTTGGCCAAACAGCAACTGTTGGACTGCAATACTCCGCGGCGGCACAAAGGCGTCAAAAGGGTGCGGATGGAGTCGAACCCGAGAGGCTCTTTCTCACCGCCTTCTCTGATGCATCTTGGGCATCAGAACCAGAGGATATGACAAGTGTGGGAGGCTTCATCTGCTGTATTGGTGGAGGCCCAACAGCTTGGGAGAGCAAGAAGCAAGTGGACCAAGCATTGAGCTCGATGGAGTCAGAGTACATGGCACTCTTCCGTGCCATAAGGGAGGTTGTGTGACAGCGGCGTTTGATAGCTGAATTGGGGGAGGAGCAGCAAGGACCTACCCCACTCTATTGTGATAGCCAGGGTGCTATTGCATTGGCTAAGAACCCCGTTCTTCATGGCCTTACCAAGCACATAAAGGTGAAGTGGCATTGGGTGAGGAGCATAGTAACCTCGGGTGAAGTGGAGTCGCACTACGTGAAGACGACGGCACAGCCTGCTGATATGATGACCAAGAGGCTGGTTGAGCAGCAGCATTGGAAGTGTTGCAAGCTTGCTGGGATGGCTCTGAACTAAGGGGAGCAGATTCTAAGGCCAACAATCCGAGGGGGAGTTTGTTGGTGCAACCCTATGGCTTGCACTCAGCTTGTCGTCCTTGTTTGTGTGTGTGCATGCATGGCATGGAATGACTTGTGAGTCTATGCCATTGCTATCTAGTGCTTGTGTGTGTGTTTGAATTGTTTATCACAATGTGGTTTGTGTCGGTCAAGACATTAGCGAGTTTTTACAACTCGCATGTCAAGTCGTCGTTTGCGTGTCGCATGTGTTTTTTCTATTTTGTCGATTGTGAAGTGTCCATCGTGTCGCAGGTGTGTGCAGCAAGCCCCCATCAACTCAAGAAGAATTTATCTTGCAGAACCAAGACCAAGAGCTCAAGATTTCAAGCCCAAGGGACACGGATAAATATTAAATAGTGAAAATAGTAACGCTACTTCGTGTAGTGTTACATTTCACTTGGTGTAGCCCCTTGGAGGGTTTGTTTCGAGACTCTTCATGGTTGGGGACTCTGTGGTGGTGTACCACCAACCTGGACCTCAGCTCTTGGGGTATGTAGAGGCTGGGAACCATCTCCATCTCGAACTCTTCTTGCTAGGTTTGTACTTCCAATACTATAGTGGCTGCTATACCTTCTGCCAATCAAACCGCCATAGCGTCGTCAAATCTTCATGGAATTTCATGCTTTAACTTGCTGATGATAGACGACAGTAACGCGCTCCAGATCCAACTTACAGATCACCGTTTGATTTAGTGTCCAGATCGGCATCAATATTTGAAGCCGTCTAACGGAAATCCGACTGTGCTCTCTATCTCTCATTATAGGCACATCTAAGCCTATTGTGATTATAACAGCAGGTCTCCAGCGCAGTGGTCCAATTTGTAGGTGTAGCACTGCTTCGCCTTGTACTGGTAACTTGCTGCCGTCCACCATCGCTGCAGAGAATACCGAAGGCTTGTACTCTTCTTGAAGTCGGTCGATAATTTCCTTGTCACAAACGGTGTGCGATGCTCTGCTGTCCACGAGTGCTTGAAGGCGTCGTCCTTTGTAGATGACCTCGAGCATGAGGGGCAGGCGTTGCTCGGAGTACCCAAAGATAGTTTCGGTAATAGGATCATATGGTACATCTAAATATTCCGTTCACATCTTTTTTCTTGCTATCTGCTCGTGGGTTAGCAGCTGGCCGGGGCTGCTTGGAGAAGGTCTCTCCCTCAGGATCCTGAGCTCTCTTGACTGTGTGAGTCGTTGATGCCAAATTTGTTGAGCTGGATGCATCCGGAGAAGGAGTTCAGGCTTTTTGCAGCTTCTTGTAGTCCCCCAGCTTCCTCTTGAGCTACTTCAGCTCCACCGACGTATTCCCTAGGGAGCGGGTAGTCGTAGTGGGCTGGTTTTGGGAGAGGACGTTCACTCCGTGGAAAGGTCGGCTTCTTTCCACACTCCTTAATTTTATCCCCAAGTTTTCCGGTACCAGTATGATCTCCACAAGTTTCTGCTTCTTGTGGAGTCCCTCCCGAAATTTCTCCAAGGCTCTAGCCCCTAGAGAATTATAAGTTTTTAGTAAAGCATCCTTATAAGATAACTTTAATGAATTCTGATAATTTCTTGGGTCTTCAAGGAGTTTCCCCGTTTTCGCCGTTTCAGATCTTTTCTTTTTCGCCAGCTAGATCCGCAATCACTGGCGAACTCCGTTTTTTGTCTTCTGATTGGCCGAAGGATATCCGCGACTATTGCGTGCCCGATACTCTACACGTGCGTCTTTCATTTTGTTGCGGTCGAAGATTCGATGGCCCGGCAGCCCGCAAAAATCACACGTGAAGTTGGTATTTTTCGGACGTGACCGCCCGTCGAACCTGTCGATTTCCTTCGGATCGGCAAATGTGGGGTGAGCCGAGCGGTCGCCCTGTCGCGTACTGCTGACGTGCGCCCGTCGTGTCCCAGCATTGACCATGTCAAATCGTTCCGCTGCCAAAACGACATCACTGTAGCTTGTTGGTGCATATTCATTTGCACGTCATCCTGTCGTCTGTTCGCATCATTTTGTTTGCATGTGTTTTGTGTGCTACGTTGTTTGTATGGTTTGTTGGGTTTGCATGTCTTTGCATGTTCATCTTGTGCTTGTGCAGATGTGCTTGGATTGTGCATGACATCGAGCACATTCCAACGAGCCAAGAATTGTTGGAATCGGAGCACATATGAAGAAGTTACGAAGAAATGTTTGATGGATTTGTTACAATTCATTGGAAGTCCTTGTCAGCTGCTACACCAAAGTTGGAGAGCCTTATAACGAGGAGGGACCAGCATGTGTGGGACTTTTGTCCCCACCTTGCAGCTGCAGCATTTGGGGTTTGGAGGCCAACCTGGCACAGTGTGAATTTTGTCTTGCCAGGCTGGCTGAACCTGAGGATGGGGAGTCAAAACTTTGACTCTTGTCATGTTCTTGACCATGGGCCTCCAGGGTCCTTCCCTTTCATCCTTCCCTTCCTACCCCACCTTCCAACTGTGCTTCAATGCCTTTTCTATCATGCCTCTGATCTTGTAAGCTACAATGATAGTGACTCTGAGGACTGTCAACTTCTCCTAGGGCAGATTACCCCCCAGTGCGCCAAACGCCATAGCTTACTCGTTCAGCTACGGAATCGAGTGATTCAACTTTCAGTCGAAAGCTGACGCTTCCAGCTACAACATATCCGATTTTCATATCGTTTCACCGATTGGAGTTTTTGATATAGCTATTCGAAGGTCGCGAGTTTTCTGGGCGTCATAACGAAGTGCTGCAGAAATTTCCAAGGAGCCATTGAATCATCTGCTTATAGCCTTCTCTAACCTACAAGTGGTATCAGAGCCTATTATCACGCATTTGGGACCTAAAATACGATGGGAGATAAAGAGGACTCTGGTGGAGGTGATACTTCAGTCCAAGGAGGCAGCTCAACCCAAGATTCTGGCATTGCAGCGCAAAGGGGAGCGCGTACAAGCCAGGGGTCACTGCTTAAGGAGGTGCTGAAGAACTTCACCATTGAGAAGTTCTCTGGAGATGGCTATGATGATTGGGCATGGAAGATGCAGCTCTACTTTCGACAAATTGGCCTCTTGAAGCTCATGATTGGAACGGAGCCAAGGCCAAAGGAAATGGCAGAGCAAGCGGACTGGGATGAACGTTCATCTGCTGGGTATTATCTACTGTCACAAAGCTTGGAGCTGAACCAGAGGCATCACATCATGCATCTGCTACCGGAAATTGATTGTGGGCCCAAGGCATGGGCAGTGCTCAAGGACCTGCACGCTCCGACATCGGTTGCCGCTTCTCTCATGCTGGATCGGGAGCTGTCCATGCTGCGGTTGAGCGAGAATGAACCTGTGCAGCCCGTACTGGACAAGATGAGGGAACTCTACGCGAAATTGGCAATTGCTGGCATCACGTACCCAGAGCAGACAAAGTGTCTCAAGATGCTCAGCCTGCTGCCCGAGTCTTGGCTGCAATTTATAAGCGGACTCAGCTTGCCACAAAACCAAAGTCAATGGACATTGGAGTGGATTCGCACCAAGATTCTGGAAGAAGATTTTCGTCGCTATACACTGCGCGGAGGTGATGACAGCACCAGCGGCTATGCCATGCAAGGGACATGGAGGGATCGAGGGCGTGGCAATCGCGGTCGCTCTTACCACAGCCAAGGTGGTCGCGGGACTTGGAACCAGCGGGGGCGTGGTGGCGCTGGTGCAAGAGGAAGAGGTGGTCACTCCAACAATGACAACAGTGAACCACGCTTGAGGGGAGAGTGCTGGTATTGCAAGGAAGAAGGGCATCCATGGTTTCGCTGCCCTACCAAGCCCGACTGGTGGACCCCTTGGAACCAATCGCAGAAGGGGAATGGAGGAAAGCAACCACATGGAGGTGCCAACATGGTAGCTGATCCTGCTGAAGAAACCTCCAAGGATGACAGAGGAATGGGAAATGAGGAGAGGAATACTGGACAGTTCTACCATGTGTGTGACAAAGATGACAGTGGCACAGCTGTTGCAAGGGCTGGAGAGGAATTGCACCCGCTTGACATGTGGGTCATGGACTCTGGTGCTGCATGGACAATGACACCACGCAAGGACTTGCTGGATGCTGTGCGAGCGCCTCCTATCTCTGAAGTGCGCTCAGCATCCGGACATGCAGTGAAGGTCGCTGGAGTTGGTCGAGCTGCATTCAGAGCACCTGATGGTGGACTGGTTGTGCTGAAGGACGTGTTACTCGTACCGGGGCTGAAGGTCAATCTGATATCGCTGCGCAAGCTAGGCCAGGCCGGAGTCAGCACCACCACCAATGGATCCAAAACATTCAAGGGGCTGCGAGGAGATCGTGTGTTATGGGATTTACACGAAAGCAGAGATGTCTTCAGATCCATGTGGCAGATCCCTGCACTGATATGGGAATCAACAAAGAAGGAGTTGGGAGAAGTAAAGGCGGGATCTGGAGTCCAGGGGGGGTGTAATGCAGTTAGTGCTGCAGGAGTGACGGTTTCTGCAAGGTCGGGGGAGACTGATTGGGAAACCGCACACAGGCGTCTAGGGCATGTGGCTATGCCATTGCTGCAGCAACTGCATAAGGAAGAAGCAGTAAAGGGGCTGAAGCTTTCTGGGCAACCAAATGATACCAAGTGCGAGATGTGTCTGCTGAGCAAGTTCACACGGTTCCCCTTTCACGGCGTAGCTGGGAAAGGCAAGGCAGCACTGGAACTGGTGCACATGGACCTCGTAGGACCTTTTCCAGTCCGAGGAAGTAAGGGGGAAAGGTACTTCCTGACAATAGTTGATGACTGGAGTCGGCTGATGTGGGCATACCCGTTGAAGCAGAAGGATCATGCTGCCTCAACAATATGAGATGATTGGCTGCCGTTCGTCGAGCGACAATCTGGGCACCCATGCAAGAGCATCAGAACCGACCGAGGTGGAGAGTTTCTAGGAGGAGATCTGACTGCGTGGCTCAAGAAACAAGGCATTGAGCATCAGCTAACGACGTCCTATACCCCTCAGTCAAATGGCGTTGCTGAGAGGGCTAATAGGACCATCCTGGAAACTGCGCGAGCGCTGCTGATCGAATCAGGGCTGGGGAACTCCATGTGGCCTCATGCGGTGAGGCATGCTACAGTGGCAAGGAACCGCGTACTCACAAAGGTGGCTGATGATATGTGGGTGCCGCTGGAGAGGTGGCTTGGAAAGAAGCCTCCAGTGGACATGCTTCGAGTGTTCGGATGCATGGCAGTGGCGCATGTCCCTAAACCGTACAGGACAAAGCTTGGAGCATCTGCACTTTGGTGTGTGCACCTTGGGCTTGCGGCAGAGAGCAAGGGGTGGCTACTCTGGGAGCCCTCAAAGAATGTGCTGTTTGACAGTCGGGATGTCAAATTTGTGGAGAACATCATGTATGGCAAGTGGGAGAAGCAGCCGGAGGCAAGGGTCACCCAGCAGCTGGAAGAGATCACTATGCACTTCGATCTGTCCGAACCTGAGGACAGCGAAGTCACTGCGCCAACGGCAAGCGGTACTGATGAAGGAAGCAATGAGGATATTGCAGCTGATGCTGAAGTCAAGGATCCGGAGCAGCAGCAGCAAGAGGCTTCCAAAACACCAAGTCTGCCAAAGCGAAGGAAACAAATTGGTGGGGGGACAAAGGATTGGGTGAAGGTGAATCCAACCATCTACCCTGCACGTACCAGAATGGCAACGAGAAAGCTGCTGAGCTCCACAAGTGGAGGAGCCACAACTGAGCAGCAGGAACAGGCTCAAGGCGAAGATGCAGTGCTGTTCTTGGGTGATGACCAAGAGTCAGATGACGAGGAGCCTGCATACTGCTTTTACGCACCAATACAACCTCCGAGCATGGATCATGCGCTAGCCGGGCCTCAACGGGGGAAGTGGCTCGTTTCAAGAGATGCAGAGTACAACAGCCAGATGGAGAATCACACATGGGACCTGGTGTACTTGCCAAATGGGAAGAAGGCAATACAGTGCAAGTGGCTGGCAAAAATCAAGACGGATGAGAAAGGAGAGCCATCAGTTTACAAGAGCAGGCTGGTGGCAAAGGGGTTTCAGCAGAAAGAGAAGGAAGATTACAAAGAAGTGTTTGCCCCAACTGCTAAGTCTCCAACGCTACGTGTGCTGCTGGCGGTAGCTGCTGTGCGCAAATGGAAGGTGAAGCAGATGGACATCGTAACCGCTTTTCTGTACGGCATTGTGGAAGAGGAGGTGTACATGGTTCAACCACCTGGCTATGAGGATGGAACCGGTCGTGTCTGCAAACTTAACAAGGCCATCTATGGCTTGAAGCAGGCCCCGAGATGCTGGTACAACAGGCTGGCCAGTGCACTGGAAGGGATTGGATTCCGTGCGAGTGCATGCGACGAGAGCCTATTCCTGATGGGAGAGGGGGAGTCACTTGTGCTTCTGCTGGTGTACGCGGATGACATCCTGCTCTTCAGCAGCAGTGACAAGGAGATCGATGGGGTGCAGCGGAAGCTCACAGAGCAGTTCAAGTGCAAGTCACTTGGAGAGGCAAGGTACTACCTGGGAATGCACATTGAGCGGGATACTGAACGTGGCTGGCTCAAACTGCATCAGGGACAGTACATCAACACCTTGGCTGAGAAGTACTCTCTGCAGGAAGAACGGGAAGTGGTCACACCTTTGCCTTCCGAGTTCAAACTCATTAAGGCAGCTGAAGGAGAAGGAGTTGAGAGTGAAGACCAGAGGCAATTCCAATCCATGGTCGGGAGCCTACTCTACGCTGCTGTGCATACTCGGCCTGACATCAGCTTTGCTGTGGGACAGCTGGCTCGAATAGTCCAAAATCCAACAGAAGAGCAGTGTGGTGCAGCGGAGAGAGTGGTGCGCTACCTCAAGTCATACCCTACAGTGGGAGTACAGTATTCGGCCTCTGCTCAACTCAGTCAAAAAGGAGTTGAAGTCCTCAAAGAGAAGGGGGAGCAGCTCGGAGAAGGAAAGGTGTTCCTTTCCTGTTTTGCTGATGCCACGTGGGCTTCTGAGCATGAGGATTCATCATCAGTTGGTGGATACATCTGCATGGTGGGAGGTGGGCCTGTGAGTTGGAGGTCCAAGAAGCAGTCTGAGACGGCACTATCTTCAGTGGAATCTGAGTACATGGCGATGTTTCATGCGGCAAAAGAAATCATCTGGCTAAGGAGGCTCTTGAAGGAGATCGGCCATGAACAGACTTGTGCGACACCTCTGTTCAGTGATAGCAAGGGAGCCATTGCCATGGCACGCAATGCAGTTCTTCATGGGTTGAACAAGCACATGAGGATCAAGTGGCATTGGCTGCAGAAGGAGGTGAAGCTTGGGACACTGGATCCGATCTACGTGAAAACTCAGCAACAGCCAGCCGACTTCCTTACCAAGCGGCTAGCTGAAGAGCCACACTGGCGCTGTGCGAGGATGGCGGGAATGTCCTTGAACTAGAGACGGCGAAACAAGCCGACAGTCTGAGGGGGAGTGTGTTGGTGCATATTCATTTGCACGTCATCCTGTCGTCTGTTCGCGTCATTTCGTTTGCATGTGTTTTGTGTGCTACGTTGTTTGTATGGTTTGTTGGGTTTGCATGTCTTTGCATGTTCATCTTGTGCTTGTGCAGATGTGCTTGGATTGTGCATGACATCGAGCACATTCCAACGAGCCAAGAATTGTTGGAATCGGAGCACATATGAAGAAGTTACGAAGAAATGTTTGATGGATTTGTTACAACTCATTGGAAGTCCTTGTCAGCTGCTACACCAAAGTTGGAGAGCCCTATAACGAGGAGGGACCAGCATGTGTGGGACTTTTGTCCCCACCTTGCAGCTGCAGCATTTGGGGTTTGGAGGCCAACCTGGCACAGTGTGAATTTTGTCTTGCCAGGCTGGCTGAACCTGAGGATGGGGAGTCAAAACTTTGACTCTTGTCATGTTCTTGACCATGGGCCTCCAGGGTCCTTCCCTTTCATCCTTCCCTTCCTACCCCACCTTCCAACTGCGCTTCAATGCCTTTTCCATCATGTCTCTGAACTTGTAAGCTTCAATCATAGTGACTCTGAGGACTGTCAACTTCTCCTATGACAGATTACCCCCCAGTGCGCCAAACGCCATAGCTCACTCGTTAAGCTACGGAATCGAGTGATTGAACTTGCAGTGGAAAGCTGATGCTGCCAGCTACAACATATCCGATTTTCAGATCGTTTCACCGATTGGAGTTTTTGATATAGCTATTCGAAGGTCGCGAGTTTTCTGGGCGTCATAACGAAGTGCTGCAGAAATTTCCAAGGAGCCATTGAATCATCTGCTTATAGCCTTCTCTAACCAACAGGGTTTGCATGTCTTTGCATGTTCATCTTGTGCTTGTGCAGATGTGCTTGGATTGTGTATGACATCGAGCACATTCCAACGAGCCAAGAATTGTTGGAATCGGAGCACATATGAAGAAGTTACGAAGAAATGTTTGATGGATTTGTTACAATTCATTGGAAGTCCTTGTCAGCTGCTACACCAAAGTTGGAGAGCCCTATAACGAGGAGGGACCAGCATGTGTGGGACTTTTGTCCCCACCTTGCAGCTGCAGCATTTGGGGTTTGGAGGCCAACCTGGCACAGTGTGAATTTTGTCTTGCCAGGCTGGCTGAACCTGAGGATGGGGAGTCAAAACTTTGACTCTTGTCATGTTCTTGACCATGGGCCTCCAGGGTCCTTCCCTTTCATCCTTCCCTTCCTACCCCACCTTCCAACTGTGCTTCAATGCCTTTTCTATCATGCCTCTGATCTTGTAAGCTTCAATTATAGTGACTCTGAGGACTGTCAACTTCTCCTAGGGCAGATTACCCCCCAGTGCGCCAAACGCCATAGCTCACTCGTTAAGCTACGGAATCGAGTGATTCAACTTGCAGTGGAAAGCTGACGCTGCCAGCTACAACATATCCGATTTTCAGATCGTTTCATTGATTGGAGTTTTTGATATAGCTATTCGAAGGTCGCGAGTTTTCTGGGCGTCATAACGAAGTGCTGCAGAAATTTCCAAGGAGCCATTGAATCATCTGCTTATAGCCTTCTCTAACCAACATAGCTCACGTGGTTCGTCACTGCTACCTGTCATTTGACTTCGGTCTTCAGCCTGGCGAGATATGATTGCACTTTTTCCCCTTCGGTCAGGCCGGGAATGCGGTTATAAAATTCCTCCATTTGCTGCGTGGACTGTGATAGGCTCCCGAACTGTCGATGACGATGATTTTTTTCCCGGGCAAGGAAACCGGAATTTATCGACTCGAAGCGTTTCAGCAGGTCGGTGCGGAACTGTTGCCACGTGGCTTCGCCGTGGATGAAGGTGCTGTTACCGCCGATCCACTCGAGTGCCGGTTCTGGCATCAGTGTCGCCGCGAGTCGTACGCGTTGACCATCCCAGACAGGCGAGCTCCATCCGACGGCTGCGAAGTAGATCTCCATAGCGGCGATACATCTGCGGGCGTCGGAATTTCGATCGCTCGGATTGAACGGCTCAGGTGGGTGCGGTTTTGGAGCCTCGAGAAACTATTGCGACTGCTGCGTCGTCGCCGTTGTCGTGTCGTGCTTCGCGCCGGCAAGTCGATTTACTCGCTCGAACTCGTTTCGCCAAGCTTTATGATCGGCTCGCATCTCCTCCTGAAGGGCGGCAATGCTCACGAAGAGCTGCTGGGTAATCTCGGCGTTGTCAAAGTTCGCCATCCTATTTCAAAACACGTGCGGAGGGGTTAATTAAAAAAACGCGGAGCTGGTGCTTACTAGAATCGGCGCTGAATGAGTCGCCCCCGGCGGTTTTTCGAAGCAGGTTTTCCCTCTGCTCCTGCTTAGCTGAGAACGGCTGAGTGAGAAAAGCTCTGATACAAAGTGTCACAGGATCGAATGTGTCGAGGAAAAGTTGCACTATCGATGGATACAAGGCGCTTTTATACTTCCAAAGTACATCAGGTAACCAGATTTATCCTATCCAGAGAGAATAGACCCTTCTAGAAATAGAATCACCCTGCGTATAGCCACGCGAGGCTATTGGCTATAAGGGATTACGGCAGGATTACGCTAGATAGAGCGGGCCAGTACATCCCGAGCCTAGTTTGTGATATAATCATAATAACAGGATAAACCAAAGGATAATGGAAAATGAGGAATAGGAAACCAAATGAGATGAGAGAAAAAGAGGAATGAGATAGAAAGGAAATATGGAAAGGGGAATTGGTGTAACGGGGTCGTACTCTCACACTGGCGGTGAAGTTGAGCGCGTGCCCCTCCGCGTTCAAGCGGAGTACGGAGTCTGCCATCGTACGTCCTCAGCAATCCGACACAGCGGCACGATAGCACAGCGACACGGCGGCACAGTGGCACGATAGCACAGCGACACGGTGGCACGATGACACAGCGACACGGGGACTCTGTGGCACGACGGCACTGCTCCACGGTGGCACGGCTCCACGGCAGAAAGGAAGGAGGGGCTCAAAGGGCGATTGGCGCATGGAAGGAGCCAGCGGGGCGCAACGGGCCAGCTGGGGCACGAAGGGGCTGGCGGGGTGCAAAGGGCCAGCAAAGTGCGACAGGGCTGGCGGAGCGCGGAATGGCCAGCGGGGTGCAAAGGGCTGGTGGGGCGCGAAACGGCCAGCGGGGCGCGAGGACCCGGTGGGGCGCGAGATGGCTGGCGGGGCGCGAAACGATCAGATGGAGGGAAGGGCCAGCGGGGCACGAAAGGGCCGGTGGGACGCGAGAGGGCAGGCGGGGCGCAAAACGGCCAGCGGGGCGCAAGGTGCTGACGGGGCACGACAGGGCCGGCGGGGCGCGAAACGACCAGAGGGGCGCGAAACGACCAGCGGGGCGCGAGGGGCCGGCGGGGCGCGACGGGCCTGGCGGGGCGTGAAGGGCCTGGCGGGGCGTGAAGTGCCTGGCGGGGCGCGAAGGGTCTCGCTGGGCACGAAGGCCCTGGCGGGGCGCGAAGGGCCTTGCGGGGCGCGAAGGGCCCGGCGGGGCGCGACAGGGCCTGGCGAGGCACGAAGGGGACGTCCAGCGGGGCGCTAAGGCCAATGGGGCGCTAGGGCCAGCGGGGCGCTAAGGACAGCGGGGCGCTAAGGCTAAGGCTAGGGCGGAAGCTTGTGGGCGGACCTAATCTAGGCTGATACCATCTTAGAATAGCAGAATGAGTTAGAAAGAAGGGTACACGGTAGTTTTGACCTAATGTGCTGTACTCTCTAAGGCATGCCCCAATTTAGGCAATAGTAACATATACAAATATGTTTGACACAAGGAGTACATCCGGACAAGTAGTTCCAAACATAGAGAGCAAACTTTAGAACAACATTTTTTATACCTAGCCCAACGACCTTTGGTCTTGATCACCACCCGCAACCTCCTAGGCATGTTATCTACGAGGTTAGTGCAAACCATTTGTTGGATCTTCTCGCACTCTTTTAAGACCCACCATTTTGCATAAGGGGGTGAGCACTAGGAAAATTGCGAAAAGTTGGGCGTAGGCAATAGTATTGTGGACAATTTTGAATTTAATGGTATCTCTGAAACTAGGCATGGTGAGGTGGGACAAAAGATGCCATTAGCCGATCGGTCCCATTTTATCACGGATCGTCTTCTTTGTACCGTTGTAGGGTAAAATCAAGAACAGATCGGCCAAAACTAGCGTAGACATCGTGAAACTGAGGGTAACGTAGTACGGTCGACTGTTCACCATTGCACCAATAAAATCACACTAGGATCCGCGGACCTAGTCGCGGTGTAGCAGTCATAGAAGCCACGATTTTTCTGGAAGAATATGAAGGGCTGGCTCCAATTCATGGAGCCGCATGCTGAGTGGACAATTAATGTTTGGAAGCATGTAATCTAGTCAAATGGGACCAAGATCAATTGCTTCTGCTCCAATGTCTTCGCGTTTGCCTGGATTTGCTCAAGTCTGTGAGCAAGAAAGTCAGCCAGCGGAGCTCCTGTGCTGCCATTGCACCAGGGTAGATCTTAGCCTCACAACTAGACTAGGCAACAGACGACGAGCGAGTGGACCTCCATGAGATGGCGCCTGCACCAAGGCTAAAGCAATTGCCTTGCGAGGACCTGAGCGTCTCAGCATCAACCGCCCACGAAGCGTCTGTGTGCCCTGTAAGGACCACCGGCCTGCATCCTCCTAGAACTAGCCCCATGCCCGATGTACTTGCCAGAAAATGCAAAACCCTCTTAGCGGCCAACCAGTGCTGTGGTTGGTGTCAGCCTGTCGCCACAAAGCCAGCCAGGATGCTGAGAGGGTATGCGAGATCTAGACAAGAGCAAGTCATCAGGTATATAAGGCAACCCACTAGCTCTGCGTAAGGACCACTAGGCTCTACAGACTCCTCAGGGACTGGAGTCGAGAGCCTGTGATCTACTGGCAGAGGTGTGGGTTGTGCGGAGGAGAACTAAAGTCTGAACCTCTGAAGGACCTGGCGCACCAAGTGTGACTGGGTGAGAGTGATGGTGCGCACTGCTCTCTCCCTGGAGATCTGCAGGCCAAGGTAGCAGTGCAACTCTCCTAGGTCAGTGAGGGTGAGTCTCCTCAGCAGCTCAGCCTTCATGGAGACAGCCCTCACCGTCTGCAGTAGCGAAGGACAAGTCGTCTACATAGACAAAGATGTAGAACGGGGTCTAGCCAGAACGAACGAAAAGTGAAGAGTCTGCAGACGACGGGAAGAACTGCATGTCAGCTAGCGTCGCACATAGCATGTTGTGCCACTAATGGGGCGTCTGCTGCAGACCATAAATGGGGCACCGGAGGAGCCACTCGAAGGGGCGAAGGACAAAGGACGGGGAGGGTCACAGACTTGAGCTGTGGCCTAGTCAAGTCGACGGGTAGAGGCAAAGTAAGCGATGGCAGCAACAAGAGCGTGGGTAACAAGAGAGGCGAGAACGCGAGGAACAAGCGGACTAGCGGCAGGGCAGAATTCAGAGAGAGGAGGCGGAGAGATAACAAGCGACAACAGAGGTGCCGACGGTAGAAGAGGAGAACGAGACGCTTGACAGCGGAGCAACATATGGTTAGAGCGCTGC